ATCCTTGACTTGATGATTGCCTTGACCAACCAGCAAATTGCAGGTGAGATGCTGCTTGCTTGGCGTGTCCACCTCATTTCCCACATCATCATTTTCCACTCCTTCCGAAATGGAAACACCAGTCACAGGTACGCCATCAGCTGTACCTCCGCTTCCTTCAAGTGCACTGACTTCATCAGCTACATCAGCTCCAGGTAAGTCTTGTTTTGCATATTCTGCTCCTTCGCCTTCGTGTCCTTCAATGGTCGAGAATGCAGGAACCGAATCCACTACGGACCTGTGGCCTCCTCCCCCTGAAGTCCACACCACACAGTGGGGTGAGACTTCATCCGTATCAACATCATGTGCCGGATTCCGCACGATGCAGGCTTTGTGCGCCAGGCGGTATGGGACAGATGCATGTGCAGACTTGCCACTCGACTGCATCCCAGGTGTGCGGAAATCCGTGCTCCCATGTGCATCAATATGCACACCAGGTGTGCGGAAAAGGGTAACCCCTTCACGATTAACCTGATTCGATGACGCATCATTACGCGAATGTCCAGGAGCATGGGCGGATGTAAGTGCATGCGCATATTGCACCACGAGCACTCCATCCACGTTCTTAGCAAGTCCAATCCGCACGTACTCCTCTCCATCTTTCATGGTGACCTCCGCGTCTCCATTAGCAATTGTATTGATGTGCGCTCCCTTTTTCAGCAGCTGACAATAGGAGAGCAGGTTACTCTTCAAGCCAGGTACGTATAGGACGTCAGTGTACCGAACTGTTGTCCCATCAGGTGCCGTTGCTCTGATCGTTCCTGTCATCTTGCTGCTCAGCTCGCTCCCATTAGCAAGCTCCACATAAACAGGTTCGTCTAGCTCCCTTAACTCTTCAAACCAGCTCTTGTCCGAAGTCATGTGCTGGCTGCATCCGCTATCCAGCATCCAAGATGTCGCTTTAGCTGGCAGTAAGGTAGCTTGTGACGATCCCACCATTGCAATGCACGTAACAGTACGTTGTTTGTCTTCCCCGGCTGCCCCTTGTTGTTTTGATGCATTGTTGTCACGTTTGGGGCTGCAACTCCTTCGTGGGGAGGACGAACGGCTGTCGCTGGTGTGCAGTTTTGCCTTTCCGCGGGTATGCGGTTCCCACCTTTGTGGTGTCCACCCAGGGGGTGCCTTGGTACACTTGAAGAAGGGGTGTCCAGGCTCCTTGCAGTACCAACACACGAGAGATGAGCGACTTGCATCTCCATCCTTGCCATGCGTTTTCTCCCCAATTGACCCCTCCTTCCCGTTATTGCCCTTTGCAGTTGGAGAAGGTGAGCAGTCTCCACGTGCTTGTCCAACCATGCGAGGTGGACGCCGGTCACGGTTATCCTTTGTGATGAGATCGTGATATCTCTGCTCCCGAATCATCATCCGCTGCAAAGTGAAGCTGTCCGTCACGTTGTGCAGCATTGCCGAGTGCCTCATCTCCTCCCAATGTGCCGGTAGTCCGGTGAGCAGATTTAAGGTGAAAGTGTCCTCATCCACCATCTTTCCCGCCAACGCCAACTTGTCCCGAATCGCCGTTGCGCGGTTCACATACTCCTCCACCCTCTCTTGATTCCCCATTTTCAGGTTGTCCAACTGCTTCATGAGAGAGACCTTCGCCACCGAATCTTTGGCCTGGTAAGTGTCCATCAAATACTCCCATGCTTCATAAGCCGGGCTGTAGGATTCCTGGAACATGTCTAGTTGTAGTTGAATCGTGGCGCTCACGCTGTGCAATAGGACCCAAAAGGCGAGTGCCGCACGCTGGGAGTAATCCGCCTGTAGCATTTCCAGCCGCCCCATAGCGTCGTCAATGTCACCATCTCCAATGTTAACCGGATACTGCAGGGTCACAAAGAACTCCCACACATTCGTGACGCGGGCGTTCATACGAAACCGTAGTGCCCATTCGCGGAAATTTGAGCCGTCAAACGGAGTGGTGGTGAATGCCTTGTCCACCGTTGCTCCCACCATTTTGCGTGACAGTCGTTCCTTGTCTTCGTCCGTATATTCACGTGGTGCGGGGTCGAAGAGAGTAGGCATGGTTGACGGTCGAGGTAGCTGTACCGTGCGCCGCATATCTCCATTCTGTCCACCAAGTTGACGTTCCAGCACTTCCACTTGATCCCGTCGCATGACACCACTTGACTGCATTCCGTATCCCATCCGCCCCATGCTGTCCACAGAGTGTGCGCTGATTGGTGGATGATGTGCATGTGGAGGGATGATGTTGTCGCCATGAAGGTGAGACCTGGGCATGGGAAGAACTCCAATGGGATGAGAGTTAGTCGCAAGTCGTCGTAGTGGGGGAGCACCAATAGTGTAGGAGGCGAATCCCACACCTTCCACGCCCACTTCACCACTTCTGTCACCCTGATGCCCAATCTGTCCACTTCTCATCCCACCAAACACTGCACTCCGATACTCATCATTCCTCCTCCGTGCTTCCCTTTGCATGGATGATTGAGGTGCGGAATTGGCGATCTCCTCTCCTTGGACGGATGCATCCCTCCATTGGGATGACTCTCCTCCTTGAGGTATGCCCATTTCCCCTTCACCATCAATTCCTGCATGAACATTTGCACGAGTTTGGTTAGTACGTGGAGTGCTTGAATGAGATTGTTCATGGGTGGACGGATTGCTGAACTCATGAGAGAGTTTTGCTCTTGGCTGGATTGTCATTCCAAACTTGTCCCTTAACGAAGCTTGGAGAGTTGGTGGTGCCCTTGCAATCATGCTTTCCAGGTGCTCATGCTGAGCCATGATGGCTTCTTCAAAAGCCGCATATCCAGGATCCACTTCGCCATCGAAGTGCGCCATGACCTTGACAAAACCGTCCACCAAGTGTGCGGTAAACGCGCAGTTGTAACCAACAGCGAACACCAGGTGTACGAAAGCGTAGACCAGGTGTGCGGTACTCCGACTGTATGCAGGTACCTATCCAAACTGTATGCCAGTAAATTCCTGAACCAGTTTTGGCAGCATGCCCCCTAGAGTAGCTCTGATACCATGCTAGAAAGGCATAGTGCCAGCGTAGCGGAAACGTGTTTGTAGAAAAGAACAAGATAGAAATCTTGCATTGATCATTGAAAAGTAAAAGGATGACACAATGAGTGCTCAATGATGTGACACAGCAGGGTATATATGCATCCAGCTACCCCTCCAGAATGACCCATTCACACCAATAATGGTGTACCAATAATTGTACCCTCTACCCTCCAATAATGCTGACCTCCAATAATTCTGGCCCCTACAATAATTGTAGGACCTGGAAGCTTATAAAGAGGACTACACTAAAACCAAACAGCACACTGGTATACAGTATTCGTTATACTGTATTCGGATTTCCAACACGTTGCTCGTCTGCCACTACTTTAGCCGCGGGGCCAGTTACTCCAGTATTCTGGGGGCTTCGCCAGGTAGCCGCTGTGCCAGTCTGCCTCCTGTTGCCCGTGTGTCTGCAGCTTCAGCCGTCGCCTCCTATCTCCTCTCCTCTCACTCTCTCTCCTCCTCCTCACTTGCCCGTTGTGACTACCACTAGCTTTGCTTATAATTGTGAGCTCTAAACTATTGCTTCTTGAACTTGTGCTCAGAATGTGTGGTGACATTGTGATCCACCCTGAGCTTGTACTGCTTTGCTTGCTCTGCTGATTACACCCCACTTTGGCTATGGGGGTGTGTCAGAATGTTATCTTATGCTCTAGCCTGTAGTGGGGTGCTCTATAGCGAGTACAACCCTTCTAGGGTTTGCTATTTGTATCCTCATTCTTGCTAGTTCAATCCTCTCTTCTTTCTTCTAAACTTTAACAGTACGCGCTGAGCGAGGACGCGAAGTAAGGAAAATGAAATTTCCTTACATTTCCATATCAGCATGTGTACACTGAGGAGAAAATAATAAACTTGCAGAGGCAAGAGCCAGAAATCAGCATTTAAATATTATAAATCACAAAATCTAAACATATTGAATAGCATGTGAAAGCATGCAAGAATATACTGGTGTTGTGTTTCATGAGTTAACACAAAATAGTATACAGACTTGTATACCTTGAGAGTGCAATCCTTAAATGCTCTCTTGCTGTGACAGAATCCAAGGTTGCATTAAAACGGGGAGCTACCGCAAGCATTGCTTCAAGAAATGCTTGGTATCCTACCTCAAGCTGTTTTCGCTGCACTGCACCTTCCGTGCATTGCCTGTGCAGCTGTGTTCGATCTAGCAACGCTGTGTTCGATCATTCCACCCTGCTCTGCCTTGCGACCTCCGTGTCTCACCATGAACACAATAGCGGACATTGGTCGCTTGCGAGCCACGTTAGCAGGGAGCATTCTCTCATGCGATCCCACCGTCAGCGGCAGCCGTGGCATCTCCCGATCCGGTCCGCAATCCTTCTCTCCGTTCCGCATGCCTGGTGGTAACACTCTGGTGCTCTCTTCCCGCCGCTTCTGCTCGCCTTCCAGCTTGCGTGCACGATCGTCGCCGTCGTCGCGTGCGGATCGCCGGAACCCTTTGTGCGATCGGCGAACGTCGCTGTTCGGCCAGCGACTGCCGTGCGACGGAAGTCGCACGACGACGTCCATGCGATTGCGATCGCGGAAGAGCAGACGTGGAGATGACATACAAAGGACCGACGGAGAAAGTGTGACACGTGGCACGCCCTCTTTGGTCTGCTCGTCCAAGGTGGACGACGTGCCGCATCTGTCCGAGTGGATTCCGGACCTCCAGGTAGGTCGAGGGGAGATGTGCCACATGACATTTCCTCCACGTGCCAAGTGTCGAGCTGTTATTGGTGAGCTGAGCAATAGCTCTCCATGCCGTAGCTTCTCCTTGAGTAACCGCATTGTCGAATTTTCACGCCGTGTGCATTGGACAGATTTTGTTGTTTCCAACAGCACGTGTGCATTTTCAAACAAATGTGACTGATTGTGTGCTGGATCACAAACAGATATATATTCGTGGGTTTGTGTGTGTGTGTGTGTGACTGCAGACGTACAGCAATCCACTGGTACTCAATCCAGCATACGCCTATGTTGAGTGAGTAATCAACATGTCACCCGCTCTGCTCTCTCCTCCTGCTCCTGCCTTTTTGGTCAACCCAATCTAGTGACAATGCAGCATACGCCATTTGGAGTAAGCGTTTTTAACTCCCTCTGCTCGTGCCTTTTGCAGCTCAAGCATTGTTTTGCGTTCACGTTTAGGGCTAGGATTTCACATGTAGGGCAGTGGATTGATTTCAGGCTTTGATTATGCGGTTAGTCTTTGATTGTACGCTCACGCCCTGATGGTGCATTCAGGGCGTATCTTTGGTTCGGGTCATAAGGCCACTTTGGGTCATCAGTACGCTTTGGGTCATGGGAGGACCAATGGTATTCGACTTTTCTGTCAGAAATGCGCCTGATTGGTGTTCCAAGAATCACGGATGACCCAAACAGTGCATGACCCGAACCAAAGATACGCCCTCACGCACTTACTGTGCATCCAAGCACTAATTGTTCATTCAAGCGTCGAACGTGTGCGCAAGTCAAGCATTTCTTTTGCATTCAGTGGGTGCACCGATTATTACTCAAGTCGAACCACCACTTCTTTTTCCCCATGCGCCCCTGTACCTTGCCTACCAACACCCCCCTTCCCCCCCTCTCCTTCCCCCCCCCTCCTTCCGCACACTCACCCTTGTTCTGCATGCAGTCAGTATTTTGTGGAGCCCAACGACATGGTGTGCCAGCAGGTGAGGCACCTCTGCTGCTCACTGTCGTCAGGGGGTTAATTGAGCTGTAACTTCTATGGGTGCTCCCCTCTGCCACCTCAACTTGCCCTGTTGACTCGCCACTGAGGTCGCCCGTGCACCTGTGCCCGCCTCTCTCCCACCCTCGCACAGCCGCCCAGCTCCCTCTCTTCTCTCATTTGCTCCGTGTCGTAACCCACCCCACTCTCCTCTCTCCATGATGGTCCTTGTCGCTCCGCTCCTTCCGCAATATCTAAGTGTCACTCTACTTACCCCCCTCTGTCCTTCGAGTCGACTCAAAAGTTCTGCAATATCTAAGTGTCACTCTACTTACCGCCCTGTGTCCCCCATCCCAGGTATCAGCCCGGCTATCTGAACTGGACAGCATCAGCTACTTTCGCAGAGCATGCTGTGTCACTCCCCCCCTCCATCCCTGCTGTCACCCCTCCCCTCTCCCTCACCGGCTGTGTCACCCCTCCCCCATCCCAGGTATCAGCCCGGCTATCTGAACTGGACAGCATCAGCTACTTTCGCAGAGCTGGGCCCAGGGAGAGGGTAAGCAGACCTGCTTTTGTGCAGCTCGTGAAGGTGAAGGCGCAGCTGGTGAAGGTGCAGGTGCAGCTGGTGAAGGCGCAGCTGGTGAAGGTGCAGGTGCAGCTGGTTGGTACTGGACGCGTGCTTGCATGCTCCTGTGGTTCGTTTTGTTGCCGCATTCCCTGCCGTTCGTTACTCCTAAAGTGTTTGACGCGTTTTGGCTGTGATGTTGATAATGCTGGCGTTCTATGTGAGCGGTGGCATGGGGTAGGGTGCTGTGGCATGGCATTGCATGGCATGGATGGCATGGGGTAGGGTGTTATCCTATGCTGTGTGTTTGGCATGGCATGGCATGGTGTGGCACTGTCGCATCGCATGACTTGAATGCTGCTGAATGGCATGGCATGTCAAGTCATGGATGGCATGTGGTTGGCGTGTGGATGGCATGTGGCATGGCATGGGATGAAATGTGACATGGCATGGGATGAAATGTGACATGGCATGGGATGAAATGTGACATGGCATGGGATGAAATGTGGCATGGCATGGGATGAAATGTGACATGACATGGGATGAAATGTGGCATGGCATGGGATGAAATGTGGCATGGCATGGGATGAAATGTGGCATGGCATGGGATGAAATGTGACATGGCATGGGATGAAATGTGGCATGTCATGGGATGAAATGTGGCATGGCATGGGATGAAATGTGACATGGCATGGGATGAAATGTGGCATGTCATGGGATGAAATGTGGCATGGCATGGGATGAAATGTGGCATGGCATGGGATGACATGTGGCATGGCATGGGATGAAATGTGGGATGGCATGGGATGAAATGTGGCATGGCATGGGATGAAATGTGAGATGGCATGGGATGAAATGTGGGATGGCATGGGATGAAATGTGACATGGCATGGGATGAAATGTGGCATGGCGTGGGATGAAATGTGGTATGGCATAGGATGAAATGTGACATGGCATGGGATGAAATGTGACATGGCATGGGATGAAATGTGGCATGGCATGGGATGAAATGTGGCATGGCATGGGATGACATGTGGCATGGCATGGTACGACATGGCATGTGGATGTGCAGGTGGTGTACCACCCACGGGAGGTGCGGGCAGCCATAGTGACATGCGGGGGGCTGTGCCCGGGACTCAACACTGTGATTCGCGAGATAGTGTGGGGGCTCTGGTTCCAGTACGGCGCACGGCACATTCTCGGCATCGATGTGAGTGGCTTGGCTTGGTAGGCCACACAAGCATCAGGGAAGCACGTGGGAAGCACATTGGAGAAAGTGGGAAGCACATGGAAGCACATGGAAGCACATGGAAGCATGTAGGAGGCACATGGGAAGCATGTGCACACGAGTCTACATGCCTGCGCCACATTCCTTAGGGTTAGTGAACTGTTCCCGTACTTGCCCAACCAATCTATCTCCTTTCCTCCCCTCACTCCCTTGTCTTGCACCCTCGTCCTCCTGCCACTCCCTGATGATGCATGTGACTTGCACGCACACAGGGAGGCCACAGCGGCTTTCTTCCTGCGGGGGCATTTTAGTGGAGCGGAACCCATGGGGTGCTGGAGGACTTTTGAGGCGCCTCAAAAGTCGAAACCCACAGGGTGCTGGAGGAATCGGAACCATGCACACAAGCTCTATTCCTCCCAACCAATCTCCCGCCCCCCCCCTTCCCTCCCCCCGCCTTTCACTTATCTCTTCTCCACGCACAGGGGGGGGGGGGGGGGTACCGCGGCTTCTACCCACGCAATTTGAGCAAGCTGAACTGAACCTGTGGGGCGCTCGACTGCGTTGCTGCGCACACACCATCCTACCCCTCCCAACCGATTGCTCCCTGTCCCCTCCAACCCATCCCCTACCTCTCCATATCAATCACACAGGGCGGTTACCGTGGCTTCTACTCACGCAACCTCATGGAGCTCAACCCGTGGGTGATCAACGGTATTCACTAACCCTCCTTCCACCCTCCCCCCTCCCTCTGTCATACTGCGCGCACAGGGTGGGTACCGGGGCTTCTACTCGCGGAACCTCATGGAGCTCAACCCGTGGGTGATCAACGACATTCACAAGCGCGGAGGAACCTTCCTGGGTACTTCCCGCGGCGGGCACGATACCACCCGGATTGTCAACTCGATTGAGGATAGAGGCATCAACCAGGTGGGACGTTGACCAGGTGGGGCGTTGACCAGGTGGGGCGTTGACCAGGTGGGGCGTTGACCAGGTGGGGCGTTGACCAGGTGAGGCGTTGATCAGGTGGGGCGTTAACTTGGTGAGGCATCAACCAGGTGGGGCGTTGACCAGGTGGGGTGTTAACTTGGTGAGGCATCAACCAGGTGGGGCGTTAACTTGGTGAGGCGTTAACTGGGTGAGGCATCAACCAGGTGGGGCGTTAACTGGGTGAGGCATCAACCTGGTGAGGTGTTAACTGGGTGAGGAATTAACCAGGTGAGGCGTTAACTGGGTGAGGTATCAACCAGGTGGGGCGTTGACCAGGTGGGGCGTTAACTTGGTGAGGCATCATCTAGGTGAGGCGTCAACTGGGTGAGGTGGGAACACATGTGTTGACAGCACAAATCACGCTACACTCGTATGCTCATGCACTCATCCACGAAACCCCTGCCACCTGTGCACCCATGGCTTGGCATGGCATGGCATGGCATGGCATGGCATGGCATGGCATGTCATGGTATTGCATGGCAGGTGTTCATCATCGGAGGCGATGGCACGCAGCGAGGGGCGGAGCTCATTTATGAGGTAGGCAGTGCAGGCAAGCAGGCGGCCGGCTGGCAGGGGGTGTCTGGCAGGCAGGGGGCTGGTAGACGGACAGTATGGGGGTAGACGGACAGTATGGGGGTAGACGGACAGTATGGGGGTAGACGGACAGTATGGGGGTAGACGGACAGTATGGGGGTAGACGGACAGTATGGGGGTAGACGGACAGTATGGGGGTAGACGGACAGTATGGGGGTAGACGGACAGTATGGGGGTAGACGGACAGTATGGGGGTAGACGGACAGTAAGGGGGTAGACGGACAGTATGGGGGTAGACAGACAGTATGGGGGTAGACGGACAGTAAGGGGGTACACGGACAGTAAGGGGGTAGACGGACAGTATGGGGGTAGACGGACAGTAAGGGGGTAGACGGACAGTATGGGGGTAGACGGACAGTAAGGGGGTAGACGGACAGTAAGGGGGTAGACGGACAGTAAGGGGGTAGACGGACAGTAAGGGGGTAGACGGACAGTATGGGGGTAGACGGACAGTAAGGGGGTAGACGGACAGTATGGGGGTAGACAGACAGTAAGGGGGTAGACGGACAGTATGGGGGTAGACGGACAGTATGGGGGTAGACGGACAGTATGGGGGTAGACGGACAGTATGGGGGTAGACGGACAGTATGGGGGTAGACGGACAGTATGGGGGTAGACGGACAGTATGGGGGTAGACGGACAGTATGGGGGTAGACGGACAGTAAGGGGGTAGACGGACAGTATGAGGGTAGACGGACAGTATGGGGGTAGACGGACAGTATGGGGGTAGACGGACAGTATGGGGGTAGACGGACAGTATGGGGGTAGATGGACAGTATGGGGGTAGACGGACAGTATGGGGGTAGACGGACAGTATGGGGGTAGACGGACAGTATGGGGGTAGACGGACAGTATGGGGGTAGACGGACAGTATGGGGGTAGACGGACAGTATGGGGGTAGACGGACAGTATGGGGGTAGACGGACAGTAAGGGGGTAGACGGACAGTATGGGGGTAGACGGACAGTATGGGGGTAGACGGACAGTATGGGGGTAGACGGACAGTATGGGGGTAGACGGACAGTATGGGGGTAGACGGACAGTATGGGGGTAGACGGACAGTATGGGGGTAGACGGACAGTATGGGGGTAGACGGACAGTATGGGGTTAGACGGACAGTATGGGGGTAGACGGACAGTATGGGGGTCGACGGACAGTAAGGGGGTAGACGGACAGTATGGGGGTAGACGGACAGTATGGGGGTAGACGGACAGTATGGGGGTAGACGGACAGTATGGGGGTAGACGGACAGTATGGGGGTAGACGGACAGTATGGGGGTAGACGGACAGTATGGGGGTAGACGGACAGTATGGGGGTAGACGGACAGTATGGGGGTAGACGGACAGTATGGGGGTAGACGGACAGTATGGGGGTAGACGGACAGTATGGGGGTAGACGGACAGTATGGGGGTAGACGGACAGTATGGGGGTAGACGGACAGTATGGGGGTAGACGGACAGTATGGGGGTAGACGGACAGTATGGGGGTAGACGGACAGTATGGGGGTAGACGGACAGTATGGGGGTAGACGGACAGTATGGGGGTAGACGGACAGTATGGGGGTAGACGGACAGTATGGGGGTAGACGGACAGTATGGGGGTAGACGGACAGTATGGGGGTAGACGGACAGTATGGGGGTAGACGGACAGTATGGGGGTAGACGGACAGTATGGGGGTAGACGGACAGTATGGGGGTAGACGGACAGTATGGGGGTAGACGGACAGTATGGGGGTAGACGGACAGTATGGGGGTAGACGGACAGTATGGGGGTAGACGGACAGTATGGGGGTAGACGGACAGTATGGGGGTAGACGGACAGTATGGGGGTAGACGGACAGTATGGGGGTAGACGGACAGTATGGGGGTAGACGGACAGTATGGGGGTAGACGGACAGTATGGGGGTAGACGGACAGTATGGGGGTAGACGGACAGTATGGGGGTAGACGGACAGTATGGGGGTAGACGGACAGTATGGGGGTAGACGGACAGTATGGGGGTAGACGGACAGTATGGGGGTAGACGGACAGTATGGGGGTAGACGGACAGTATGGGGGTAGACGGACAGTATGGGGGTAGACGGACAGTATGGGGGTAGACGGGACAGTATGGGGGTAGACGGACAGTATGGGGGTAGACGGACAGTATGGGGGTAGACGGACAGTATGGGGGTAGACGGACAGTATGGGGGTAGACGGACAGTATGGGGGTAGACGGACAGTATGGGGTAGACGGACAGTATGGGGGTAGACGGACAGTATGGGGGTAGACGGACAGTATGGGGGTAGACGGACAGTAAGGGGGTAGACGGACAGTAAGGGGGTAGACGGACAGTAAGGGGGTAGACGGACAGTAAGGGGGTAGACGGACAGTATGGGGGTAGACGGACAGTAAGGGGGTAGACGGACAGTAAGGGGGTAGACGGACAGTAAGGGGGTAGACGGACAGTAAGGGGGTAGACGGACAGTATGGGGGTAGACGGACAGTAAGGGGGTAGACGGACAGTATAGGGGTAGACGGACAGTAAGGGGGTAGACGGACAGTATGGGGGTAGACGGACAGTATGGGGGTAGACGGACAGTATGGGGGTAGACGGACAGTATGGGGGTAGACGGACAGTATGGGGTAGACGGACAGTATGGGGGTAGACGGACAGTATGGGGGTAGACGGACAGTATGGGGGTAGACGGACAGTAAGGGGGTAGACGGACAGTATGGGGGTAGACGGACAGTATGGGGGTAGACGGACAGTATGGGGGTAGACGGACAGTATGGGGGTAGACGGACAGTATGGGGGTAGACTGGACAGTATGGGGGTAGACGGACAGTATGGGGGTAGACGGACAGTATGGGGGTAGACGGACAGTATGGGGGTAGACGGACAGTATGGGGGTAGACGGACAGTATGGGGGTAGACGGACAGTATGGGGGTAGACGGACAGTATGGGGGTAGACGGACAGTAAGGGGGTAGACGGACAGTATGGGGGTAGACGGACAGTATGGGGGTAGACGGACAGTATGGGGGTCGACGGACAGTAAGGGGGTAGACGGACAGTATGGGGGTAGACGGACAGTATGGGGGTAGACGGACAGTATGGGGGTAGACGGACAGTATGGGGGTAGACGGACAGTATGGGGGTAGACGGACAGTATGGGGGTAGACGGACAGTATGGGGGTAGACGGACAGTATGGGGGTAGACGGACAGTATGGGGGTAGACGGACAGTATGGGGGTAGACGGACAGTATGGGGGTAGACGGACAGTATGGGGGTAGACGGACAGTATGGGGGTAGACGGACAGTATGGGGGTAGACGGACAGTATGGGGGTAGACGGACAGTATGGGGGTAGACGGACAGTAAGGGGGTAGACGGACAGTAAGGGGGTAGACGGACAGTAAGGGGGTAGACGGACAGTAAGGGGGTAGACGGACAGTATGGGGGTAGACGGACAGTAAGGGGGTAGACGGACAGTAAGGGGGTAGACGGACAGTAAGGGGGTAGACGGACAGTAAGGGGGTAGACGGACAGTATGGGGGTAGACGGACAGTAAGGGGGTAGACGGACAGTATGGGGGTAGACGGACAGTAAGGGGGTAGACGGACAGTATGGGGGTAGACGGACAGTATGGGGGTAGACGGACAGTATGGGGGTAGACGGACAGTATGGGGGTAGACGGACAGTATGGGGGTAGACGGACAGTATGGGGGTAGACGGACAGTATGGGGGTAGACGGACAGTATGGGGGTAGACGGACAGTATGGGGGTAGACGGACAGTATGGGGGTAGACGGACAGTATGGGGGTAGACGGACAGTATGGGGGTAGACGGACAGTATGGGGGTAGACGGACAGTATGGGGGTAGACGGACAGTATGGGGGTAGACGGACAGTATGGGGGTAGACGGACAGTATGGGGGTAGACGGACAGTATGGGGGTAGACGGACAGTATGGGGGTAGACGGACAGTATGGGGGTAGACGGACAGTATGGGGGTAGACGGACAGTATGGGGGTAGACGGACAGTATGGGGGTAGACGGACAGTATGGGGGTAGACGGACAGTATGGGGGTAGACGGACAGTATGGGGGTAGACGGACAGTATGGGGGTAGACGGACAGTATGGGGGTAGACGGACAGTATGGGGGTAGACGGACAGTATGGGGGTAGACGGACAGTATGGGGGTAGACGGACAGTATGGGGGTAGACGGACAGTATGGGGGTCGACGGACAGTAAGGGGGTAGACGGACAGTATGGGGGTAGACGGACAGTATGGGGGTAGACGGACAGTATGGGGGTAGACGGACAGTATGGGGGTAGACGGACAGTATGGGGGTAGACGGACAGTATGGGGGTAGACGGACAGTATGGGGGTAGACGGACAGTATGGGGGTAGACGGACAGTATGGGGGTAGACGGACAGTATGGGGGTAGACGGACAGTATGGGGGTAGACGGACAGTATGGGGGTAGACGGACAGTATGGGGGTAGACGGACAGTATGGGGGTAGATGGACAGTATGGGGGTAGACGGACAGTATGGGGGTAGACGGACAGTATGGGGGTAGACGGACAGTATGGGGGTAGACGGACAGTATGGGGGTAGACGGACAGTATGGGGTAGACGGACAGTATGGGGGTAGACGGACAGTATGGGGGTAGACGGACAGTATGGGGGTAGACGGACAGTATGGGGGTAGACGGACAGTATGGGGGTAGACGGACAGTATGGGGGTAGACGGACAGTATGGGGGTAGACGGACAGTATGGGGGTAGACGGACAGTATGGGGGTAGACGGACAGTATGGGGGTAGACGGACAGTATGGGGGTAGACGGACAGTATGGGGGTAGACGGACAGTATGGGGGTAGACGGACAGTATGGGGGTAGACGGACAGTATGGGGGTAGACGGACAGTATGGGGGTAGACGGACAGTATGGGGGTAGACGGACAGTATGGGGGTAGACGGACAGTATGGGGGTAGACGGACAGTATGGGGGTAGACGGACAGTATGGGGGTAGACGGACAGTATGGGGGTAGACGGACAGTATGGGGGTAGACGGACAGTATGGGGGTAGACGGACAGTATGGGGGTAGACGGACAGTATGGGGGTAGACGGACAGTATGGGGTAGACGGACAGTATGGGGGTAGACGGACAGTATGGGGGTAGACGGACAGTATGGGGGTAGACGGACAGTATGGGGGTAGACGGACAGTATGGGGGTAGACGGACAGTAGGGGGTAGACGGACAGTATGGGGGTAGACGGACAGTATGGGGGTAGACGGACAGTATGGGGGTAGACGGACAGTATGGGGGTAGACGGACAGTATGGGGGTAGACGGACAGTATGGGGGTAGACGGACAGTATGGGGGTAGACGGACAGTATGGGGGTAGACGGACAGTATGGGGGTAGACGGACAGTATGGGGGTAGACGGACAGTATGGGGGTAGACGGACAGTATGGGGGTAGACGGACAGTATGGGGGTAGACGGACAGTATGGGGGGTAGACGGACAGTATGGGGGTAGACGGACAGTATGGGGGTAGACGGACAGTATGGGGGTAGACGGACAGTATGGGGGTAGACGGACAGTATGGGGGTAGACGGACAGTATGGGGGTAGACGGACAGTATGGGGGTAGACGGACAGTATGGGGGTAGACGGACAGTATGGGGGTAGACGGACAGTATGGGGGTAGACGGACAGTATGGGGGTAGACGGACAGTATGGGGGTAGACGGACAGTATGGGGGTAGACGGACAGTATGGGGGGTAGACGGACAGTATGGGGGTAGACGGACAGTATGGGGGTAGACGGACAGTATGGGGGTAGACGGACAGTATGGGGGTAGACGGACAGTAAGGGGGTAGACGGACAGTATGGGGGTAGACGGACAGTATGGGGGTAGACGGACAGTATGGGGGTAGACGGACAGTATGGGGGTAGACGGACAGTATGGGGGTAGACGGACAGTATGGGGGTAGACGGACAGTATGGGGGTAGACGGACAGTATGGGGGTAGACGGACAGTATGGGGGTAGACGGACAGTATGGGGGTAGACGGACAGTAAGGGGGTAGACGGACAGTAAGGGGGTAGACGGACAGTAAGGGGGTAGACGGACAGTAAGGGGGTAGACGGACAGTATGGGGGTAGACGGACAGTAAGGGGGTAGACGGACAGTAAGGGGGTAGACGGACAGTAAGGGGGTAGACGGACAGTAAGGGGGTAGACGGACAGTATGGGGGTAGACGGACAGTAAGGGGGTAGACGGACAGTATAGGGGTAGACGGACAGTAAGGGGGTAGAGACGGACAGTATGGGGGTAGACGGACAGTATGGGGGTAGACGGACAGTATGGGGGTAGACGACAGTATGGGGGTAGACGGACAGTATGGGGGTAGACGGACAGTATGGGGGTAGACGGACAGTATGGGGGTAGACGGACAGTATGGGGGTAGACGGACAGTATGGGGGTAGGACGGACAGTAGGGGGGTAGACGGACAGTATGGGGGTAGACGGACAGTATGGGGGTAGCACGGACAGTATGGGGGTAGACGGACAGTATGGGGGTAGACGGACAGTATGGGGGTAGACGGACAGTATGGGGGTAGACGGACAGTATGGGGGTAGACGGACAGTATGGGGGTAGACGGACAGTATGGGGGTAGACGGACAGTATGGGGGGTAGACGGACAGTATGGGGGTAGACGGACAGTATGGGGGTAGACGGACAGTAAGGGGGGTAGACGGACAGTATGGGGGTAGACGGACAGTATGGGGGGTAGACGGACAGTATGGGGGTAGACGGACAGTATGGGGGTAGACGGACAGTATGGGGGTAGACGGACAGTATGGGGGTAGACGGACAGTATGGGGGTAGACGGACAGTAAGGGGGTAGACGGACAGTATGGGGGTAGACGGACAGTATGGGGGTAGACGGAGTAAGGGGGTAGACGGACAGTATGGGGGTAGACGGACAGTATGGGGGTAGACGGACAGTATGGGGGTAGACGGACAGTATGGGGGTAGACGGACAGTATGGGGGTAGACGGACAGTATGGGGGTAGACGGACAGTATGGGGGTAGACGGACAGTATGGGGGTAGACGGACAGTATGGGGGTAGACGGACAGTATGGGGGTAGACGGACAGTATGGGGGTAGACGGACAGTATGGGGGTAGACGGACAGTATGGGGGTAGACGGACAGTATGGGGGTAGACGGACAGTATGGGGGTAGACGGACAGTATGGGGGTAGACGGACAGTATGGGGGTAGACGGACAGTATGGGGGTAGACGGACAGTAAGGGGGTAGACGGACAGTAAGGGGGTAGACGGACAGTAAGGGGGTAGACGGACAGTAAGGGGGTAGACGGACAGTATGGGGGTAGACGGACAGTAAGGGGGTAGACGGACAGTAAGGGGGTAGACGGACAGTAAGGGGGTAGACGGACAGTATGGGGGTAGACGGACAGTATGGGGGTAGACGGACAGTATAGGGGGTAGACGGACAGTATAGGGGGTAGACGGACAGTAATGGGGGTAGACGGACAGTATGGGGGTAGACGGACAGTATGGGGGTAGACGGACAGTATGGGGGGTAGACGGACAGTAATGGGGGTAGACGGACAGTATGGGGGTAGACGGACAGTATGGGGGTAGACGGACAGTATGGGGGTAGACGGACAGTATGGGGGTAGACGGACAGTATGGGGGTAGACGGACAGTATGGGGGTAGACGGACAGTATGGGGGTAGACGGACAGTATGGGGGTAGACGGACAGTATGGGGGTAGACGGACAGTATGGGGGTAGATGGACAGTATGGGGGTAGACGGACAGTATGGGGGTAGACGGACAGTATGGGGGTAGACGGACAGTATGGGGGTAGACGGACAGTATGGGGGTAGACGGACAGTATGGGGGTAGACGGACAGTATGGGGGTAGACGGACAGTATGGGGGTAGACGGACAGTATGGGGGTAGACGGACAGTATGGGGGTAGACGGACAGTATGGGGGTAGACGGACAGTATGGGGGTAGACGGACAGTATGGGGGTAGACGGACAGTATGGGGTAGACGGACAGTATGGGGGTAGACGGACAGTATGGGGGTAGACGGACAGTATGGGGGTAGACGGACAGTATGGGGGTAGACGGACAGTATGGGGGTAGACGGACAGTATGGGGGTAGACGGACAGTATGGGGGTAGACGGACAGTATGGGGGTAGACGGACAGTATGGGGGTAGACGGACAGTAGGGGTAGACGGACAGTATGGGGGTAGACGGACAGTATGGGGGTAGACGGACAGTATGGGGGTAGACGGACAGTATGGGGGTAGACGGACAGTATGGGGGTAGACGGACAGTATGGGGGTAGACGGACAGTATGGGGGTAGACGGACAGTATGGGGGTAGACGGACAGTATGGGGGTAGACGGACAGTATGGGGGTAGACGGACAGTATGGGGGTAGACGGACAGTATGGGGGTAGACGGACAGTATGGGGTAGACGGACAGTATGGGGGTAGACGGACAGTATGGGGGTAGACGGGACAGTATGGGGGTAGACGGACAGTATGGGGGTAGACGGACAGTATGGGGGGTAGACGGACAGTATGGGGGTAGAACGGACAGTATGGGGGTAAGCGGACAGTATGGGGGTAGAACGGACAGTATGGGGGTAGACGGACAGTATGGGGGTAGACGGACAGTATGGGGGTAGACGACAGTATGGGGTAGACGGACAGTATGGGGGTAGACGGACAGTATGGGGGTAGAACGGACAGTAGGGGGTAGACGGACAGTATGGGGGTAGACGGACAGTATGGGGGGTAGATGGACAGTAATGGGGGTAGACGGACAGTATGGGGGTAGACGGACAGTATGGGGGGTAGACGGACAGTATGGGGGGTAGATCGGACAGTATGGGGGTAGACGGACAGTATGGGGGTAGACGGACAGTATGGGGGTAGAACGGACAGTATTGGGGGTAGACGGACAGTATGGGGGTAAGACGGACAGTATGGGGGTAGACGGACAGTATGGGGGTAGACGGACAGTATGGGGGTAGACGGACAGTATGGGGGTAGACGGACAGTATGGGGGTAGACGGACAGTATGGGGGGTAGAACGGACAGTATGGGGGTAGACGGACAGTATGGGGGTAGACGGACAGTATGGGGGTAGACGGACAGTATGGGGGTCGACGGACAGTAAGGGGGTAGACGGACAGTATGGGGGTAGACGGACAGTATGGGGGTAGACGGACAGTATGGGGGTAGACGGACAGTATGGGGGTAGACGGACAGTATGGGGGTAGACGGACAGTATGGGGGTAGACGGACAGTATGGGGGTAGACGGACAGTATGGGGGTAGACGGACAGTATGGGGGTAGACGGACAGTATGGGGGTAGACGGACAGTATGGGGGTAGACGGACAGTATGGGGGTAGACGGACAGTATGGGGGTAGACGGGGAGGGGAAGGCACTGTTGCACACATGTGCAAGCAGCAGAATTTCATAATCCTGCTGCAGAAGCTCGCACATGTGTGCAACAGTGCACTTCCCTTTCATAGCCACCTCGTTGTCGATTAATCTCCATCGTCCATCTCTTGTCGCTCCGCCCGTTCGTTTTCCTTTTCCTTTCCCTGCGCTCGACACCCCACTGCTACCACTTGTCCCATCCTTCTCCAAGCAATACCCCTCCCTGAGTCTTTCATGTCTCTCCCCGCTTCCACCGCTCCTGTCACCAATGCTGTGCTGGGATGGTGGTGGTGCAGGAGACGAGGCGGCGCGGCCTGAAGGTGGCAGTGGCAGGCATCCCTAAGACCATTGACAATGACATCGCTGTGAGTGGCTGCTCTCGCCCTAGAGGCCCACACCATCGCTGTGAGTGGCTGCTCTCGCCCTAGAGGCCCACACCATCGCTGTGAGTGGCTGCTCTCGCCCTAGAGGCCCACACCATCGCAGGTGGAGGGTTTTTGAGGCGCCTCAAAAATTGACATCGCTGTGAGTCGCGTCACTCGCCCTAGAGGCCCACACCATCGCAGGTGGAGGGGGTCGAGGAGGCAAGGGTGGGGGGGGTACAAGGGGGACAAGGGGGGGAATGGGGCAACGAGGGCAAGGGGGGCACGGGGGAAAGGGGGGCACGGGGGACAACGGGGCAAGGGGGTAATAGGGGCAAAAATGGGTGCAAGAAATGGGCAAGAAGGGGGGAAGAAGGGGGTGACGAAGATTCCTGACAGGTTGCAGCTGTGCAGGGTACCTGTAATGTATTCTTTCTCTTAGTGTTTCTTTCACCATACAGTACAGCCTTGTTTTTCTTCCCTCCCCTCATCCCTCTTCTCTTATTCATTGCCCCATCAGATAATCGACCGGTCATTCGGATTCCAAACAGCACTGGAGGAGGCGCAGAGGGCGATCCACGACCACATTCGAGCTGACTTTTGAGTTGACTCAAAATTCAGCTCAGTGGAGGAGGCGCAGAGGGCGATCCACGATCACATTCGCCATCCACGTGGCGCATGTGGAGGCGGAGAGCACTCGCAACGGCCCTCCCCCATCCCTCCTCTCTCTCCACCCTCATTCCTCCACTCTTCTTCATGCCCCATCAGATAATCGACCGGTCATTCGGGTTTGACACGGCAGTGGAGGAGACACAGAGGGTCATCAACGCCCGTCTTCTGCTCTCTCTCCCCGCTTCCCACCCTTCCACATGCCCCTCCATCAGATAATCGACCGGTCATTCGGGTTTGACACGGCAGTGGAGGAGGCGCAGAGGGCGATATATGCAGCGCATGTGGAGGCGGAGAGCACCCGCAACGGCGTGGGGCTGGTGAAGCTCATGGGGCGGTACTGCGGTCAGATCGCCATGCACGCCACCCTTGCGAGCAGGGATGTGGTATGTGCGTGTGTGTGGGGGGAGGGGGAAGTGTGTGAGTGTCCTTCCTCGCTGCACTCGCAATGGCGTGGGGCTGGTGAAGCTCATGGGGTGGTACTGTAGACAGATCGCCATGCACACCAGTCTAGCTAGCAGGGACGTGGTATGTGCGTGTGTGTGTGAGGGCGTCGTTAGTGCGTGCGTCCTTGCTGGCCTAGCCCTGTACTACTTTCAAGCATGTCCAGCACGGCTGGTGAAGCTCATGGGGCGGTACTGTGGACAGATCGCCATGCACGCCACCTTGCAAGCCGGGATTTGGTAAATGTGCACGTGTGTGAGTGCGTGCGAGTGTGTATCCTCAGTGGTCGCTCACCTTCGATCCCTTCCCCTCTTCCTAATCGTCGAGGCTCCGTTATTCATCCTTCCCTTTCCTCCTCTCAACCCCCTCAACCCCCCCTCGCGCCACCTTCCACACAGGACTGCTGCCTGATCCCCGAGGTGCCCTTCCACCTGGAGGGCCCAGGAGGCCTGTTTGACTTCATTGACCGGCGCCTGTATGAGAACGAGCACTGCGTGCTGGTCGTGGCGGAGGGTGCGGGGCAGGAGAACATGGCTCGCCACATGAGCGCCAGCGATGATGACGTTGCTGGTGGTGCAGGGATGGGGCGAGATGCGTCGGGGAATGCGAAGCTGATGGACGTGGGGCTGTGGCTGTCGGGGCAAATCAAGAGCCACTTCGCGCGGCAGCGCAAGGACATTCAACTCAAATACATTGGTGCGGCCACGAGTGCGGCCATGTGTGCGGGCATGTGTGCATGGGTGTGGGCATGAGTGCGGGCATGTGTGCATGGGTGTGGGCATGAGTGCGGGCATGTGTGCATGGGTGTGGGCATGAGTGCGGGCATGTGTGCATGGGTGTGGGCATGAGTGCATGGGTGTGGGCATGAGTGCGGGCATGTGTGCATGGGTGTGGGCATGAGTGCGGGCATGTGTGCATGGGTGTGGGCATGAGTGCATGGGTGTGGGCATGAGTGCGGGCATGTGTGCATGGGTGTGGGCATGAGTGCGGGCATGTGTGCATGGGTGTGGGCATGAGTGCGGGCATGTGTGCATGGGTGTGGGCATGAGTGCGAGCATGTGTGCATGGGTGTGGGCATGTGTGCGGGCATGTGTGCATGGGTGTGGGCATGAGTGCGGGCATGTGTGCATGGGTGTGGGCATGAGTGCGGGCATGTGTGCATGGGTGTGGGCATGAGTGCGGGCATGTGTGCATGGGTGTGGGCATGAGTGCGGGCATGTGTGCATGGGTGTGGGCATGAGTGCGGGCATGTGTGCATGGGTGCGGGCATGAGTGCGGGCATGTGTGCATGGGTGTGGGCATGAGTGCGGGCATGTGTGCATGGGTGTGGGGTTGTGTGTGGGTGAGCAGGTGGGGCTGTGGTTGTATGCACAGATCAAGAGTCATTTCGCCGGGCAGCGCAAGGAGATCCAACTCAAGTATATCGGTGCTGGGTGGGTGGGTGGTATTGGTGGTGGGGCTAGGGGGCGTGGTGAGTCGGGGAACGCGGGGCTGATGGTCGTGGGGCTGTTGATGTCTGCACAGATCAGGAGCAAAGAGATTTAGTTGAAGTGTGTTGGTGCAGGCGTGGATGGGCTGGCGGTTGAATGAGAATGTGCTTTGGAGTGTGTGCGATGGGTGGAACCCCGCAACCCACGGACATGCATGGCATGATTTGCACCATCCTTGTGTGCCCACTAAAAGGTTCCCTCCTGCTATCCTCTCTCCCGCTCCCACCCACCATACCCTCCGCACTTCTAAATGCAACTAGAATTAATACATGACATGCACCATCCCAGCGATATTTGAGGCCCCTCAAAATCAACCTCCTCCCCCACCAGACCCCACGTACATGATCCGCACCATTCCAGCGAATGCGAGTGACAACATATACTGCACGCTGCTGGCGCACGGGGCAGTGCACGGGGTGATGGAGTGCTTCTCTCTCTCTCAAATGGTCCTTACTATTAATTCAGCAGGGTGTACAGACATGCAATTTGACTCGTGGTTCCCTTATACCTTCCGACCCATCAACCCATCCCTCTGACCCTCCCCCCCCCCCCCCCCCCTTAGTGCCCTCTAACCCTCCAGCGTGTGGAGGATGTCCCCTAGGTGCAGCGGCCATGGGTCCGCTGCCATCTGGGGGTGCGCTGCCTCAATCCCCGCCCTGGCCTTGGTGTGCAGGGCATTCGCCTGGGAGCGCTGGAGGGCCACTGACCAGCGCTGGCTGAAGTGGCAGGCCATCTTCTTGGCCGATTTCGCCAAGGGGTTGGCCCTGAACCGGTTCCTAGCTGCTGCTGTGGCCAGCAGCTTCAGGAACGCCGTCGTGGGGGGCGCGTCTCTCTCTCTCTCTCTCTCTCTCTCTCTCTCTCTCTCTCTCTCTCTCTCTCTCTCTCTCTCTCTCTCTCTCTCTCTCTCTCTCTCTCTCTCTCTCTCTCATGGTCCTTGCATTTCTTTGGGGGGTGGTACAACGGAAGGTGCAAAACACACAAGCACAAGCTCAACAGAAAACCGGCATCCTAACTATTCCAAGTCCCCTACCTACTCTGCCCCCCCCCCTGTCCGACCCTACTGGTCGAACGGGGCCTCAATCAACTGGTGCACCTGTCCCTCACTGAGAGGGATGATGGGTCCTCTAAAACCGAGCTCGTCCGCCGCCAAGGCCTCATTGGTCTTGGTGCGGAGGGCGTTGGCCTGTGCCCGCTGGAGGCACACGCTCCAACGCTGGCGGTACTCCGTCAGAAGCTTCGCTGCTTCGTAGGAGGAAGGGGCTGCGTTAAACCGTAGCTTTGCCTTCAGCTCCGCGCATTGCCGCAGGTAAGCCAGCACCCCCGGCGAGGGGTAGCCGTATGTTTCCACTGCGAGCGCGTGGAACCCCACCCACGTGTTCCGCCGTGCGTACTTCTCCTCCTTTTTTGCCGCTGCCGCCCTAGCTGCCCAACCAGGAGCTCGGTTGCAACTCCGCGCAGCTGCGAAGGAATTCCAGGACTCCCCTCGTGGGGTATCCGTAGGTCTCAACCGCCAAGGCGTAAAAGCCCACCCAAGCGCTCCGCCTGGCGTATTTGCTTGCCTTCTTGTCCGCCTGCATTCTAGCAGCCCAACCGGGAGCTTTACGGGCGTATTCATCCTGGAGGGAGATGGGATCCGTGACCGTGATGTCACAGATCCACACCTCACTGGTGTCGGGATGGCGGATAGAGATATCCGCTTTGAGGTTTTCGACCGGTGAGTAAGCCGTTGTCTCCTTATGCACGGTGAAGCCCGCTTCCGCAGCTATCTTTGCGCACTCGTCCCGAAGGGCATTGTGAGTTGCAATTCTCCCCCCCCCTTTCTCGCACCGCATCAAATGGTTCGGTAGGCGGTCGTCGGGGAATGTGGTGCGGTATCTGCAGTCACAGCGCCTTGGCACAGGTAGGGGCAGGCCTAAGCGGAAGGAGGCCGCTGTGGAGAACTGAGAGGGCCCGAGGCGGAGGGAGGAGATCAGCGGGACGGCGAGCAGCCAGTCCCCTGCGCCGGGGCCCAAGAGGGACTGCAGCCGCTGCGTGTGTCCGAACAGTGGGTTGAGCTCCATCTCCCGCGAGCTCTCGAGCAGTTGCATGAACCTTGCAGTTTGAACCGCGAGGGAGAGCGACTGTTGGAGCTTTGGCCCGTCCGGTCTCTGTCTCCCCACTTGGAGAGCCTCGATCTCCTCAGGAGGCAGCTCGGCTTCCAGAGCGGCAAGGCGCCTTGGGAGGAGGGACGTAGATTCCTCGTTGGAGTCCTCGTTGTAACGACTCCTCCAGGGAGTATAGAAGGTGGGCGGCGCTGATCACTGAAGCGAGGTAAGCGTAGCTGCCTTCAACGGCGGGGTCAGTGATGCCCAGGCCTCCCAGAGTCACGGGCAGGGCCGCCTGCCGCCAAATCCTCCGCCTCTCCCGGGCACTCCTCGGTCTCATGATGTGGGCCGAGTCCAGGAAGGTGTGTAGGAGCTGCTCCCCCCAAGCTGACCATTCCGCTTCAGGGAGAGCTTCCAGGGGGGTGGTTCTGGCCAGAAAAGAGGCTCGGCGGCTGACACAGCGGGTGAGGAGGAGGAGGCTAAGCTGGGGGTCCATCTGGGCCAGCAGGGGGAGTGGGGATGCTGCTACTGCCAGTCTCTCTCTCACGGCGCCCGCGCACCCCCGGGGTGTGCCAACCGGGCTGCCGAGAATCTGCAGTCCCTCATCAGAGATAGTAATTCCCGGAGGCACTGCAGAGGGGTCGATTGGAGTGGCGGACCACGCCGCGCATTTGGCCGGGTTGTGTACCAGGCCGAGGGCGGCAAGTGCGGATGTGAGGTGGTCGAAAGCTGCTGTGCAGGCCGAGGCGTCGCCGAGCAGCGTGATGTCATCGGCGTACGCCAGCAGGACCACCTGAGGGTGTGCCGCCGCCGTGGCAATGAGGCACGGGTGGATGCTTGCCGCGAAGAGGAGGGGGCCGAGCGGGTCCCCTTGGCGAACTCCTCTGGCGCTCTGCAGCGGGGCTGCGCCGAAGTCGTGGTCGAGGTAGAGCGAGGAGGGAGCCCCGTAGGATAGGCGGACGAGGGGGATCAGCTTCTTCAGCGCCTCGTTTCTCAGTCCTTCGAACACCGCTCTCCTTTCGACCGCGTTAAAAGCGTTCGCGAGGTCGATCTGCAAGGCCGCTGCAGCAGGGTGCACTTCCAGGTACGTGCGAGCGGTGTGGATAGCCGCTTCGATCCCCCCTGCTACTGCCACGCCGAATTGAAGGGGGGCAAGGTGAGTACGGGCGGCTGGCGCGGTCAGGAAGAGGGCGGCCTTTGCTATAATCCGGAGGAGACACTCCCCCACCGCTATTGGCCGCGTCCCTCCTTGGGGTTTCGTAAAGGCTAGCAGGCGGGAGGCCGTGAGAAGATCCCCCGCGGCTGTTGGGAGTTTCCCTGCTAGAGCTGTGTTGGAGAGGGCGAGGAGGTGGGAGAGTACTTCGGCATTCCCTAGGGCTGCGTCGCGGATATGCTCGAAAGTGGTTCCTGAGGGGCCGGCCCCGACTCCGTTGGGGAGCTTGGCGAGGAGGCGCCTGAAGTCGCGGGCTTCGATAGTGGGTGGGTCTTCAGCCGAGGCGGTGTGGAGCCAGTCAGGGAGAAGCTGGCTGGCAGGTGGATGTCTCGTCGCGAGGGCTTCCAGCACTTCAGGTGAGGCAGGTGACACAGGGGTGGCCTGGAGGGATTGGAGTGATTTTGACAGGTTACCCCGTTTTGCCAGACCTTCCGCCCGTGCCAGTATTCCAGCTGTGTCGAGTGAGTGGCGAGGCTGCGGAGGCAAGGAAATCGCCTGGACAGCTTCTTCGTATAGGTCCGCCCAGAGCCCTTGGCGAAATCGCAGGAGCCGATTCATCATCGCGCTCCAGTCAGGTTTACGGGCTGACGATGTGCGAAGGAGTATGCGTGGGAGAAAGGTCAGTAGTTTCCATCCTGGCGCAGACTCGGGATTGGCCGCCAGGTGGAGTAACGGCGTCAACATACAGATCGCGAAGGAGTCGCGAAGGTCTTTGGGGGGGTGGCGAGCGAGAGGGGGTTGGCGACTGTCACGCAGCGGGTCGAGGTCCCAGACTGCAACCTGAGCGAATAGCTCAGAGTTTTTCGCCAGGTCGTCAGGTTTGAGCATCGGGGGGGTTGGACTCGGGGCTGCGGAATTTTCATTGGGTGTTGCAGAGTCAATTCTTTCTTCTGGAGCGGCTCGATTTCC